TCTTGTCTAATGGCCCAAATTATGCAAAAAAACTAATTTAAAAATGTAATTTTCATTTCGTAAAATTGTGTTTTTATACAAGTAGTATTTAGTTCCTTCAAACGATGTATTCAATGTACATATAACAAGAAAATTTTGTACAAAATTCCTTAGTCGCCGAACGCCGCCGCCGCCGCGCTGATATTTTCGTAACTCGGCGGCGGCGTGAGGAATGACAAAAGCGTATACCTCTAGCGAGTGGTCACTATAATAGCGCATTCACTCCCTACCCCCTAAAGTGCTTCCACGGATTTTGACGGCCTTTAAAGTACTGTGAAGAGCAGAGGAGAACCAGAATTACTGCATTCAAATGGAAAAATTCTGTTATCCAAACAGCGACTGCGTTAAGCCCTGTTTAAAACCACATATTCCTTAAAACTCAACTAAAGGCCAAACGACCAAACAAACAGTATACCGAGAAATCGATTTCGCCAAAACAACAAATAAAGATAAATGGTGGTCATACCCAAAGCTTAAATGAACATCCGCAATAAGAACTCAACCAATTGCCAAAATGATAGGCCAGGGCTTTGCGTATAAAGCGCAAGCTATAGACAATGGCATCCAAATCGAGGCTACACAGAATTCGTAGATAACACTACTCGGCATGTTAAAGAAAGCGATTTACAAATGCATCCATCACTCATTAAAAAAAATTATCAGAAATAGGCCCCCAGTTAAGTTTTGCCGCGCAATCTTCATTTTGCCTGGAAATATCTCTCATCGTCATAAAAAGATAAACACTCTACTTTGGAAGTCAATTATTCATCAATCGTTTCGTTTTCCTAATTTTATCTTGATCAAATTTTAAATTAGCATTGCTAAATAAAAAAATGGTAAGTAAAAAATAAAAAGAAAAAAATGTCAGTGTCACAGGGCTTAAACCTATGACCAACAAGTTGGCAATCGAACACACGTCCATTAGGCTACAGCAGCTGTTGAGAAAAAGTGTAAAAAATACACATTTCAATTCATTCTCAATATTTTTGATTGCATTGGCTACAATTCTAATTTCATATCGACAATCGTCGGAAAAAGATGTAAACGAATTTCATCGCTACGATATATAGTTACATAATACACAAACGCAAGCGACAATCGACAGTTTGCGACAATGATTGTCGGTCGGTAGAAAATTTAGAGAATAGCAACTACAGTTCCCCTCATTTGAAAATCGTAGAGCTTTTTATTTTGTAAATATTGACACAGAATGCGATTGGAGCTTTTGCTTGATAAAAATCTTGATAAAAATTCTTTGCAAATAATTGATCAAGAAAACACAGAAATGGGTGGATAATTAGTTGCAATAAAAAATATTTCAAGGTCCAAACTTCAGTTTTGAAGTCGCACCTTCGATAAGAATGTGGAAATAGGATAGTATTCGATTCGAGAACTAGGCCATTCTCCAGAAAAACGGAACCTTTGCCACCCAATGTATTTCCTTTCGTTATAGCCCAGTTATGCATACTTGCACTGCTATACCATTTCTACGTAAAAATCAAAACCCAACAGAATTGTACATGCGTTGGGTAACCGCTTACACGCAAAGCCCGTTTAACAGATTCTTATGTGGCAACTCTCATGCTAAGCTAAGTATGCATTACTGGGCTATTATGAATTCAACATTCAGCAGCATTATCGAATTAAAATTTTAATGAGAGAGATTGACTGTCTTATATTTCCCTTCGAGAATGAGTTGGATTTCACTTTCTCTCTTGCTACTATGGTTCTAATTTTTTTTGGAACCCATATCGAGTGTAATTCCAATATACTCCTTAGTTCGATATTCATATTGGATATTTATTTATTTGATTATTTATTTATTTACATGTACATATGTATTGTTGAATAAATAATTGAGTTTTCATGGTTTAAACAATTTTCCAAATTTTGTTGCTTTGTATTTACCATATTCTCCAATATGTAACGTTAAAGAATCTTTAATAGGACGTTAAAAATATTTCCATTTTTTGTATTGTAAAAAAAAATAAATAAAAAATTTAATGTAAATACCGCTTAAAACTACATTTAACCATTTATCTTTAAAGCAACAAAAGATAGAAAAAAAGTTTCTTCTATAAAATTTAGCTTTTGTTTTTGTCTTATCAGGATAAATAAAAAACTTTCAGTTTTCCCACAACGTTTCGGAAATCTAAACAGAAATATGCGTGCGATTGCAACGTTAAGGACAAACATTTTTATCACATGGAAAGTTGAATCTGATTAAATTCTACAGAATTTGCTCTTTAATTTGAAACCAATACTTCTTCTCTAAGCACATTTCACTGAATTTTTTAAATCATTTTTGAATTACTGCCATCAGAGTGAAAAACTAAAAACGCAATTTTACTATATTTGGTCCATGGTTTCCGCAAATATATTGATTTTTGTGTGTAAAATTTACCATCGCACGGTGTTATTTGTATAATGAGCTAGACATTTATAAAAAAAAAATATTAATTATTAAATAAAAAAAGAAATATAGCCAATATTGGTCAAGAAAAGGAGTTTTTATTATAGTCATCAGGACAAATTACAAATCCCGAACATCTACAAAAGGCCGGGATTCCGGGATTAATATTCCTAACGTACATGCATGCATGCATAAATGAAACACTGAAAAATATCTGCTCATTCAACAAATGCATAGAACCATTTACCAGCAGAAAATTGTTTTCTATACATACATACATATTGGGACTCTTGAAATTATTCGAATAATTCGAATATTCGAACGTTCGATCGGCAATTGTTTGTACGATTGCTAATCGAATTTTACTATTCGAATAGTCGCCAAGCTACGATAATTCGAATACCTTATTAAAATCGAATATTCGATCATTGTAATAAGCGTTATATGTTTAACAAAAAAACATTAATTTATGTGTGGGGCATTTCAAAGTGACGGATGTGAAATTTTAACTCGCTTTTGCTCAAACTTTTAGTAATTTCGCTTTAACCATTAATTTGACAAGTTTCAAACAGTTAACACACAAACCTAATCTTATAAATACCATAGTAAATTGGCATTTTTCAAGAGTGACGGGTGGGACAACGAAGACACCCGCTTCTCCGAGTTGTTGGATTTGTTTACCAATTTGAGACAAACTATAAATATTTCTTTCATAGCGCTTTTCTCGTATATAGCCAACAGACTGTTGAGGGTCATTTTACGCTTTGATGGCATTAATATATTTGAAATAAAAAATAAAAAAACACATTTTAGATTGTGACGGGTGAGACAGTATTTTGTGGGTGGGACGAGTCACTATCGTGGACACACAGTTCTTGAGTAAAATGAACGCTAATCGTTTGTTGTGAATATTTATTAATTTTTTATAAGGGGACCTTGTTTGATCCATACGGTAAAAAATACATATTTTGCTATGACTTCTCACCATACATATATTTTCGTAATACTTATCACCGTTTTAAAGTCCCTGAATTGTACTTTCTTTTGTTATATAATTATTTTTTGCATTGTCACTTTTGATACACCAGGAATGCCTTGACAACATAGAAATGTATTTCTAAAGAATTATTCAATCTGCTTTTTCACTGATTTAAACACAAACTATGTAATTTATTTAAATGTGTACTTACATACATACATATATATACATATCTACATATATTCCAACATTCGAGTAATCGCGCACCACTTATTATTCGAATAATTGAAAACGAGCAATCGAATTTTACTATTCGAATATTCGATTAATCGAATATCAAGAGCTCTAATACATGTGTATATGAGGTACATACATACATATGTACAGTGGGGAGCAGTGGTGCATGGTGATTTTTATAAAATATTTGCTAGGTTTTTAAAGTTCCTTTTTTTGTTATTATTTCGCAAAAATATGGTTGATGCGTTAACAAATTTTATACAGAACTTAGAAAAATTTAACAAATTTTCATGAAAATTTTGATGTTTCGGAATTTTTTTGAGTATGCAATTTTGTAAATTTAATAATTTAGATATAATAAAGTTCAAGTTCTAAGCGGCTTGATTTATATAAAAAAAATTTAACACCAAAAAAACCTTGTACTCATCACTGCTCCCCAATGTATGTACAGTGAGTGACCCACACTCAAAATCACACTGTGATGTTATTACAATACATATTCGCAATCTTTTTCTATTCTAAAATTTTTTTCATTAGTTTAGCCTCTAACAAAAGCCATATAATTTAGATATATGTATGTGGTATTTTATTTAATGTAAGGAAGAAGTTACATATATATTTTAAATAAGATATGTATTTAATGTTTACAAGCGAAAGAAATTATGTATTTGGCAAAGAATATTAACAACGTCCACGTTTAGCGTCCGACCTCCACCGCAGTCTGGCAAAGACTCCCCTTGCTTGTCAACCACACCACGTGTATATACATACATACATACATACATATTTAGATGTGTAATTGCAAAATTTGTTAAAAAATTAGAAAACTCAACAAAGTTTCATCAAATGTACAAACTTTTTAATTAGAACTTCAAGAAAAGATTAATATTATTATAATAGAATGCAAGTTCAAAGTCGCTAAAAAATTCCGTTGATTTCTGATAATTTTTTTTTCTTTTGTTGACGGTGCTATGCATATTCTTCCATGGTGTTTGCCAAGCATGGAAATGACCGTGCTAAATTTGCATGTGTACGTAAAAATACGCTTTCACATTTATTGGAATTTCTAATTACAATGTCTATGTCAATGTTTATTTTTCAACTTTATTTTCAGAAAAATCCGTGTCCCGGGGGGAACACCCCCAGAACCCACGCCCCCTCCCCCTGCCCCTGTTCTAGACGAACCCAAAACTTTTCAAGCTTTTGCATAGAATTGCCAGCCCTGGTTATTTTGCTTGAGTAAAACCATAAAATATACAAAAAAAAATATAAACTGTTTAGCGCTAATGCTTTAAGGTAGTTACTAAACAACCAAAATTTGTTTACTTGCAGTAATAACTACGATTGGAATCGCTCATTTTCCGAACCAGATTTAACAGGTAGGATGTATGGAAATTCCTTGGAATCTTATTGATTGATACACACACGGCTTACATAATTTTTGAGCACTTTTTATTCTTTACAGATCCATTTAAGCGTTCGAATCGGTTTAACATTAAACATCCGCATGAGTTTATTTCCGTGGATGATTTAAAATTTTTCAGGCGGAGGAAACACCCACCGGGTAAGTAAATATGCTAAATGCTAGAAACTACTGTATGTACATACATACATACATACATATGAGGAACTGCACTACATACATCTGATATGTTTTTTTAATTATAATTCAACACTTTTAGACCAACATTCACGAAGCAATATTTGTCTGCAACCAAGTGATGAACCAGCGCTTCCATTTAGCTCCCTTAAATCTGAGTACCAGCGACAATTTCGAGGTTTATATAACAATTTAAGGCCGATTCTTTTACGAAGATCCACATCATTGTACTTTAAAGGCTTAATGCAAAATAAATCTGAACATCAGGAGCAATTTCATTGGTACACACCGGAAGACTTGAAGTAGTAAGTAGGAACTGGCACATAAAATTGTTTACAAGTATGTATGTATGTATGAACTAGGGCTCCCAAAAATTATTCGAATTATCGGGTATTTGGTCAATATTCGTTCGACCAGTTTATGATAATCGAATAGCTGCACGCTTCGAATAATGGTCTATTGTATCTATTATTCGAATACTAAAACTATTTGAATTTTGTGAATCGAATCGAATCGATTCATTGAAATTGAAGCAAGGCGAATTTATATAAGGTGGTAGCGGTAGTACAAAAACAAAAACTTACTGCCACACCTAAACAAAAGCGTTGGGCGGAACGGTTTCTGACGCCTAGCGATAGCGCCGAAGTGCCATACCTAAACAAAAGCGTCAACGCTACGTCGGTATGCTTCATACAAATTGTATGGGCTTGAGAATTTTTTGACAGCCAGACAACGCTGACGCTTTTGTTTAGGTATGGCAGTTACATCATGGTGATATAAATATAAGGTGATGTCACTTACATAACCTCACTTTTCTGCATGCCAATTGCGGCCAAGCATTTTGGGGTAGTAGAAAAAGGTGGAAAAGATTAGGATTATTTTTACTACATTTTGGGTACTATTTCCAATACAAACATACATCAGCGTGGGCCCCACACTGGTTAAAAGAAGCCTTGCATCAATAAAATATTTTTTCTGTAAACCAGTGTAATTACAGTTTAATTTTTTCGCTCAAAAGAAATCATTGTTACTTAATTTTAATTTTTTCGATCAAATATATTTTAATAATTATTATTCAGTTATATTTTTCTACCTTAAAATTATTATTTGCAAAACTTAAAGGCCACACGGTCGTACCACACACATATGAGTAGTCCACTTCCAAACAGCGTTATGTGATTTTTCGATAATAAGCCATAAATTTGAAAAACGACTACGACAACAAGTAACATCTAAATGGAATCTTTTTCTTCATTACCTGAAAATTTTCATAAATAACAGGCTAAGAACATTATAACATAGCATAACATAACATAAAATAACATTACCAATCTACACGACCTAAAGCAGCTTTCTAAGTTTATCAGAAGATGGAGACTTTTGAAAGTTTACATATAAATAAGTATGATGGCGACTTTTGCAAGAGTAGTTAATATTTGATGCGTTTTTTCAGAATATACAAATATTTTGCACTGGGTTGTAAGTGGACATTAAACTACTTTAATTACTGGTACGTTACCCACCAAAAACTAGAAATCGAAAAAATTTTACATAGCGCACTTTGCAAGTGGACTACTCACATGATGTTGGTTAAAACTTAAAAAATAAGGACTATTTTCCGTCTTTCATTTATTCATATTAAAACAAATGAAATTATACCGTTATCTTGATTTAATTTAAGTTCTACTAAAAATGACATATTAGCCCGTATGGAATTTTATTATTTTATTATTGTATTTTTTCCTTAAGTTCTGAAGTACATGTACATATATGCGTACTTAGTTTTTAAATAACTTAACTTTAAAGGAAATTTTATTACGACATTTATGTTCGTTAACATTTTAAAATTACATTTCTGAATATTATCAGTTATATTATAAAATAATTATGCGTTTAAATTGTTAGACCAAGTGCATTATCGTAGCCATCCGAGGCACTGCTCCAATAATCAGTTGGATATATACAGTATATATTTTACCAAAAATTTACTTACAAAATCACAATTATTGGAAATTATTGATCAAATTTTCCAATGAATTTGAAACGAAAAGTCAAAGCAAAAGCGAAACAAAGAAAAAGTTACTACGTTTATACGTAAGCTATTTGCAAATAAAAATGATTTGCAAATACCTAACTCACTGTTTATTCGATGGTGAAAAATTCTTTTTTAATATTGCCTGATAATAAAAAGGCCGTCGAAAATTAAAATAAAATTAAAAATGGCAACGTTTCGATTATTAAAAGGCAAAAGATGGCCATCGAAAAAGAAAATAAACCTAAGAATGGCGGCGTCTTGCGCTTATTTGCAAATAGTACCACTAATCAATACTTATTTGCGTGATTTAGTTATTTGCAAATAATACGTGCGAATAAACGTAGTCAGTGATGCCTACGCATACTTTTTCACAAAATTGTCCGCTCCATTTTTTGTTCCATTTTGCCCAAAAATGAAATTGGAATGAATGGAGTAGGCATAACTGTAACGCTGGTATGCCGAAAATTGCCAAAATTACATGACTTACATGTATTTTGTTTTTGCTTTCGGTACACAAATGTAAAATTTCAGTTATTCTTTGCTCCGGGAAGAAGAGGGAAGGAAAATTGTGAAAATCAGCTGTTCTAGCAACATCACCTTATATGAATTCGCCTTGAATTCAGGTAACCAAATCTATGCTACATACCTACACATGTATGTATGTACATTAGAGTGGTCCAAAAAAATTAAGTTGGAATTTTAATGCCGGCGCTTTGAGCACTCCCTATTTTTATTTATTTTTTTTTTTTCAAATAGGGGTATATTTTTTTCGATATAGAACAATCCTAGGGGGTGCCGGCATTAAAAATCCGACCTTATTTTTTTACATACATTTTTGGACCACTTTAATGTACATTAGAGTGGCCCTTATTTTCGAAAAAGGAAATTCGGGGGTGCTACTCCCTGAAATGGTTACCATTATTGAAAAAGTAATTCCCTACAAATTTTAGACCAATTAATCAAGTCTAACCCGTTCTACAAACGTGCCGAAGTTGAGATAACGAAAGTATCATCGTCTGATTATGGCAACTGAACGTAACTTACGGCCCTCTCTTAAAAATTCTGTTAATTGGGTGTTGCTTGTAATTGAACAGCCGAACTTAACGTAACTTAATGCCATGTGCCATGGATGTTTCGATTCGTATGCCTTTGTGGGCGTGGCTGGTGCCTGAAATTCGAAAAAAGGCAGTTTTTTAAACTACCACTGAGGCCGCACTACTGATTCTATACCGTTCATGTGGATATCAGTAGAAGGGCCTTAAAACAAGCTATCTAATGCTGTCGTTGTTGCGTTTATGAAATATAAATATGTCATAACATTATCGCCTAAAAACTAAAAATCGGGCTGCTGAAAATATAGATTTCGAGAATTTTCCCAAAAACTGGTCAGTCGATTTTATTCTTACTTTCCACAAGTCTAGCCCAAAACCTTGGCTTTCATTTGGTATATAGCTTATGTCTGGGAAAACTCTTGTTGTTGTGGAGATATTACGATTCAAATTGAAAAAATGTCGCTCCAAATAGCGAAAAATGTTTAAAAGTTAACATATTCGTCTAATTTGGTTACTCATCCGCCATGTACACCTGAGTAACGCGCTTTTGTGCTCATGTTTCATACAAAACAATCATTGCGTACTTTCATTAGAACACTATTATTTCTTTATTTATATATCGATTTTCTTCAGTAGTAACTTGATTTATTTTTTATAACAGAACAAGCTTCAGCACAGATGCAAAAATTTGGCAAAAAACCTGTTATTTTTTAAATTTTTCTTGTGTTAAAGTTTGATTTTTTTCATTAAAAATAAAAAAAGCTGGAATGATTAATTAATTTGTCAGAAACTATGACTCCTATCGGGAAGTAATGGTTTATGGAAAATTTTATTAGCTTTATTTTCATATTAAGATTGTTAAATTGGTTTGTAAGATATACGTGATAAAGTGGAACCACTTTTTGTTTTAAGCTGAATAACGGTAAATTGCAAATATCCCGAAAACGTATCCATAGAAAAAGAATTAACTCGATTTTTGGAATCCCCGAGCCACACTACATAGAAGTTGGAGAGGGGCGTCTGGAGAACAAAAACAAAACTAAAATTTGTGATCCAGTGTAATTAAATACAAGTTGTACACAATAACTAAATATTAGAAACATAATAGGAATCAAAATTTGATACAATTTACAGACAAAAAGTGCAATTTGAATTACATTTTCATACGAAATTTGGAAAATGCAATTATCAACACTGGTCCAGAAGTAGACATGTTACCGAACGAAGAGTTTGACCAGCCACTATCAAAAATGTATACATATAAAAATAAAAATATGTAGGTACAATTAGAAAATTTAAGTTACATTCCTATGCGAAAAGGAATTTTATGATGTCAGCGAATAGGTGGAAACGAAATAGAAATGTTTCTATCTCCATCTGACACACAGATAGAATTATCGTTTCATTTTCAAAGAACGTAATTTTAAATAGTTAAATAAAGACTGTAAATTAGACAGACACAAGCAATTATGTACATGCATATGTATGTATTGAAAATATACATATCATGTAACTCTATATTTCACTTCTTAATTGCCCTTTTAGGAAAAAGTGTGCTACAAATTTGCATACCTACTAAAATTTTTATGAAAATTTGCACAAAGTTTGGAATTCCAATTTTCAGAGTTTATGCTGTTAGCCATAATTTTATATAGTTACTTTTAAGAGGCTTCCCTGAGGGGCTCTGTATTCGGAGTAGGAAGAGAGGCAGATCACTGAAATCTTTGGTCTTTGCTCTCTCTCAAGCTGAAAAGGAGGGAGGTGTCCGGCCCCATTATTTTCTTGTACCAGCTTTAAAATTATATAGATTTTGTACGGCAATATGAATTATTTTAGGAAAAATCGAATGTCGACTATCCAATTTTTTGAATCGATTCACGGATCGAATCGGAACTAAAAAATCGAATCGGAAGGGCTCGATTAATTGATCTTGATGATTGTTTTTATGTACATATATGTATGAACGATTAACGCGCGACCGACCGAACGAGTAATTCCGATTAAACACTAAACCTGTTTTATTTTGGTGGTTGCAATGCCAAAAGATTGATAATTTAAAGATTGTAATTCCGAGATTACAGAATAAAAATATTGTAAAAATTAGATAAACCCTCAATGATTTAGCACATTTAAGAGCATATTTTGGTGATTTATCGAGCTTTTGAAAGCGCATATTTTCAGGGTTTTCTGGCATATTTTTTCCAGTTCTGATTATTACATATTTTAATGGGCACGTTCAGAAGGCGCAACAGCTCAGTAACTGTTGCGATTGCACCTTCTGAACGCGTTGTTTTGTACTTCTGATCAACTGAACAGTTGCGTGTTAGATGATCGTAAAATTTTTCTGATCATTTGAGACAACGTGTTGTGTGTTTTGAATTTGACAGCTAATATATCAAGCCGTTCAGAAGACGCATTACGATCATTGATTTTTTTAGCAACGGTTGCGCTCAACTTCTGCACCTTCTGAACCTACCCATTCTCACACATGACCACATGAGAGCTCCCCATGTCAATAGACATAAGAATGAATGAGAATTTTCTTACCGAAAATGTTCTCTTGAGAATAAAATACCAGTGAGAATCAATTTGCGAGTAAACTCCCATTAGAGTACTCACCGCAATATGGCGGCATTCTCATGATTAATTACTCTCATGATGAATTACTCTCATCGTTTACGAATACCTTTATGCAAAAACATCGTCTTATTTTTATTTGATCGCTACCCAGTGGGAATTAGGAGCACGTAATAATACCTTATTAGCAACTTACTCTTCACCTGGCAGTCATTACCATTTCCCTGCCGAACGTCCCTTACTTTTACAAAGGCATGGCCGCCTTATGTAAGTAGGAATTTAGAATGTACATTTGGTATCAGACATACTTCTGAGCCGCTTTACAAAGTAAGTTACGTGTAATGCAGAGAAGTCGCTCGGAGTAGTTCGGCGCTTGGAGATAACTTCGGCTGCACGTTACTTTGCAACTGACAACGTAATGTGTCGTTGGAGGTGTTCATTTTGTGCTTTACTAGTAGATGACATTGGCCATGATGACAATTTTGGTACTAAAAACTGAAAGAAAACATGGCTTACCTCGCAAGGTGCTTACCTATTTTCCCAGTGGGTATATATATATATACATGCATACGCATATACAAATATTTACATACATACATAAGTATGTAATTATGAGCCAACGTTTTTTCTCTTTTATATTTTTATCTTTAGCTGTCGTTCAACTTCTGTAAGAAACTCCAAAAACTTGTTTGCGTCTGGTGAAATAAGTATGGAGCCAGAGTATCGTTCATCGTACATTTCATATCCGATGGTGGATCGAACTACAAAAATACTGCCACGTGAAGCATTTCGCCTCGATCCTGACCCAGTAGAAAAAAAAATTCATCCAACCGTTCAAGAGGTTCCTTCCTGCCAAAAACTTGCAAATGATAAAAGTTTACGTGAACTTGCCGCTCGCAACCTTCAGAAAAGTCGCCTGCAGCAATACGTTGGAGATAATAAATACAACACCGCGCCATCTGAGTACAAACGCCAATTCGTACAATTTCCCATCGAAAAAGCACACTCCATACCACAAATATCTCATATAAAAATACAAGGTAAATTTGGGGGTGTGCCAGAATATCAAGACTGTTTCAAAATGTATGACAATTATTCGAAAAGCGCACCAATAAAAAAAGTTGACAATTTGCGAGTATCTGGTGCTGAAATAGTAGAAAAGGCAAATGATGATACTAAATTACCAGAATATCGGGAGAAATTTCGTGAACCACCGAAAAGTGTATCGAAAGAAAAAGCAATTAAAATCCCTGACCATCTGCATCCAAACGGACAATTTTCGAAAGATATTCCAGAATATTACGAAAGCTTTCGTGATCCGAAGATTACACAGATGCCAGAACGTGGTAAATGTCGGGAACCATATTTACGCCTCAAAGGTAAAATCGAATTCAACCCAGAATATCGCAACACTTTTTTGGATTTCCCACGTTCACGGCCAATCATACGAAAACCAGCTTCCACATTTCGTCTGCCAAATTCATCAACTACGTCCAACACGACGCTTATTAAAAGTCCCAAATCTGCACGTCGCAAATTTAAATCGTATTCCCCAAAACGAAAGGAGTATATTGAAAATTCCCCAATTACAGACGTCACCACAACGCCGGAATATCGTCGCGCTAATTACCAATATCAGCTGCGCGAACGTACTCCCACACGCGAACCCAAGGAGGAGAAAGGAGAAAAGGTTGTTGGTTCAGTATCCAACACTAAATATGTGTCCATCGCAACCCAACGCAAAAGTTCCGAATCGTCAACGGATGTACCCGGTAAGTCGTCATATTTGCAGAAGCGACGTACTTCCCGCCATCGCCAAGCAACTATTGGTTGTCATCATGGTCCAGGTGCACCACCGAGTTTTGAAAATGTTGTGGGTTGTGCAACAAAAAAGGCAGCAAAATTTGGCAGGCGTGCATCTATGCTTCAGAACACATCAACTCTGGGTAAGGACAGAACGGGATATGCCATGTCGAATCAAAAAGCCAACGATGAGTCATTCCTTGTGCTGAACGAGCCTTGTAAAAAGTCACACTGGATGAAGAAGTCCTGGTACGAATCGTAATTGTATTATTGTATGTGGAATGAAAATTTTAGTAGAGTAATTTGTGTTTACAATGGAAGATATACTAAAATAAATGTTTACTAGCTTTAACCCTTACTAGCAAATATACCCCGCTCCGCCTTTGAGCAATTGAAAAATTGTGCCAAATATTTGGAATATACATGCATACCAGTGTAGCCAAAAATGGGCTTTTCCTATCAAAACTGGTACGGTTTTTCCCATTTGGAAGGTTGGTAGGCTAGATTGGATTTTGGTAGGTTCCGCGACAATAATAGTTATTTGCGAAAAATATAAAATATGTATCCTGGTGACAAAGCAACGCAAGTAAAAGTGGGTTCCACCTTCAGCAAGCTGCACCGACGGTACAGGAGCTATGGGCACCTGTCCAACGGATGCCCTTGGTGTCATTACAGACATTCCTCCTTTGTCTATTTTGTTTGAAAAAGAGGGCTGCTGAAGTGCCCTACAACTGCCCAATATGATCAGCAAGAAATTTTGGGATCCTCGGGGTCATTTGGAGGTTCTTAAGCCATTTCTGGATAATCGCGAGTTATCCTTCTACAAACCCTACAAGGTAACAATTCCTGAAGGGGACTTCTGTGAAGTGATAGTAACTATGATTGACGAAAGGTCCCACGCATGGTATACCGACGGATCAAATTAAATATTTGTCGGATAGTCAGGCAGGTTAAAGGTCTTGGACTCTTCTAAAACGGCAGCAGGCTTGTGGAAAGCTGTAAAACTTTTTTGAACCACTTGGAAGCTCACAATAACATAACACTGTGATGGATTCTGGGACATGAAGGGTTTGAAGACAATTAAATCTGACTGTCTCGCAAAGCGGTGAGCCCAAATGCACTAGCATAAGGTTGGAGTGATTACAATTAGGGTTAAGAGCAATAGATCTTCTTAG